GTTAGCAGCTCTGGATGAGCAAAGCAGTTTCCAGGAGGTTTAGCAGGTTGCCTCCTAACATGGAAGGAGCAGTGCTTCAGGTCTGCCTGTGCTGTCAGTCATTCCTGCCTCGCTGCCCTTTCCACGGACCCTTGGATCATACCCAAATACTCAGTGGGTTTGGATAATCTTGCCTGTGTAAGAGTAAATGTTTTTGTCCCGTTTCATTGCATTTTTGTGAGAACTTCTAGTCCTGAAAACACCAGCAAAACCCCCAATTTTACATAGTTTACCTATCATTTTAAACCAAGTCATGAGATTTTATCACAGAAGCCTTGATCATATTTAGACACTTTCCTGAGAAATTTAAACTCCTTCTTCAAGTTTCTGTTAATTTTTAAGAATAATGAGCTATATCTCATTTGTAACAATGTTCTCTAAATTAACAGAATTCTGTAGCAGGATGTTCTTGGAAGTATTATGGATGAAAAGACAGCAGGAAAAATGAGATAAATTCTTACCAAAAAAAGAACTGGTTTATATATCAGGGTGTAGCAGCTTCCCTTTTTTAGGAAGGAAATGCTCTTTGTCAGTTGCCACCAGAGAAATATCTGCCCTTAAGTGCTGTGCATAAATGCACTGTGTGGAATGTAAAATTATTTCAGAAGTTCAGCAGTTTTGAGTGCATTTCCACTTTACTCAGTAAATATGACCCTTAATGGAACCATGCATAGCTCAGGCTTTGCAAAGATTACATTCCTATCTGCTGTTTTGTCATGATCATAATGAAAATCCACATGTGAGCTGTTGCTTAGATTTTTATTATGTTAACAGTAACTGTTTACTGTGCTAGTTGGTTAACTGTTTTCTGAAATAAAAGGGGGAAAAAGTGTGCATGTATTTCTCTATTGAGACCTGTGTAGAAGCCAGATGTTCAACATTATTAATGGAAGCTCTGAAACATAAAAAGCTAGGAAACATAAACATTACCAAGTATCCATAATAAAGGGGTAGCTTGCTAGTTTTACTGTTGAAGAAATTAAATGCACAAGTGATCCAGTGACAACTGGTTTGTAATATCCATATATCCTTTTTAAAAGGACCAAAAGACTTATTGTGGATGTGATACGAACACAGCCAGGAGAAACGCTCTTAGAAATATTAGAAACACCACCCACTGCGCAACAGGTAAGAGCTATACTGTGCCTGAATAGGGAAGAAAGTACATATTTTTTTATAGCTATTTGAAAACCTTAAGAGATCTCTGAAAGCTTTCTCCACAGCTTTGTAACAATGAAATCATTGTTGCTGTTTTTAGACTATTCAGATCTAGAGCCTTGAAAACATGAGACTTAAAAATTTTCTTTTACTGTATAATTAGTAACAGCTTCAGAGTAAAAGACAAATTAAGTCTTCCTGTCAACCAGCACACCCATAATAATATTTTTTTCTTTACATTTTTTGTAAACAGGGTCTTTTCTCTCCTATGTTATTAACACAATCAAATAGCCTGAGGTGAATCCTTCTGCTAGATTTTTTTTTTTTCCCCCCCTCCTCATGAGTATCTTAACTCAAGTTCCCTGACACCTAGTTTATTTGCTTAAGCAATACAAGCAAACATCTGCCTGGGGAACTACTGCTATCCTTGGTGTGGGAATTGAGTGGGAAGAGCTCCCAGCTGAAGACTTCCCCATAGATACTGACACACAAAGCTGTATCTCAATAATGTACACATTTTAGCTTACCTCAGGATGTGCATATGCAGGAGACAACTGTGAGATCTGGACAGTCTTGCTGCAACTAAGTGAAGTCATTGAGTTGTCTGGCTGATTTTAGACATGTTTTGATTAATTGAAATACATGTCTAGGTGTTGTGATTAGTTACTTAATGTCAAAAGGCATAGTAAATGTAGCACTTTCAGACCACATGGTAAGAAGATATAAATAAAGCCTGCACCTTGAGTCTTAATAATCTCCTTTGAGAATTCAATGTACTTGAATACTTAACTGTTATCATGAGCTGGAAGAATACTGTTCTGGATTTTTTTTTTTACCCAGGAATCTGAGCACTTGAAACTTGTAGAAAAACGTGCCATCTTAGATTCCAAAACTCCAGAGAAAATAAAGCACAGTCAGTCTATTTTTGAAGATGGGCAGCTACCAATAGAACAAAAGAAAAGAAAAATTCAGAGAAATCTCCGGACATTGGAACAAGCAGGACTAGTGTCTTCAGCAACTAAGTACCAAGAAATTATAAATGAGATCGCTAAGGTAAATGGAGCATCCTTCCCTGTATATTGATGGTTTTTAGGCATCTAGCCTAAATCTATTCCAGCTAGAGATGTACAATATACATTTTCCAGAGAATGCTACACTAAATTGCTGAAGTGTCCACATAAGAGACAAATCATCTTTGTTTGCTGACAAAATAAGTGAAAGACAGTACTCTCATGCATAACTACCTGAATTGAATAGCATACAATTGTAGACTTTGCTATCCAGATTTGATATTGATGCTGTTTTAACTTCTCCAGTACAATGTGTTTCAGTATAGCTTTTTATATTTTACAAAGAACAAGAATTACTCATCAGTGTTTCAATTAATAATTAATGTAGTCTTGGTAGGGTTTAAACAGACTTCAAAAAACCCAGAACATTCTCTGAGTGGTATTAACACCAATCTGCAGTGGTTGGGCAGGACATAAGGAGAATAGTGGGCCAATGTGGTGCCCATCTGGGGCACCTGGGGTTGATAAAGCACCAGGCCTGTTGTGTACAAATCAGCAAAACCTGTTCCAAATCCACACCCAATACCGTCTGTAAGAATCTTAGTGTATTGGATTATCTTTAATTACTCATGAGTAATACTGGATTATCTTTAATTACTCATGAGTAAACTACTCATAGCTCACATGAATGATTTACACATTATAAATATGTATTTTTAAACTTGCAAATACATTTGAATACATAAATGAGTAAATTACTCGTGTGCTAAGTCTCTAATATAATTAAGTATGTTGCACCTACTCTGAAGTGCCATTTTAAAGCCCTGCTCAGTTCAGGTGTCTGCATCTGCTTCCAGTTGAGAGAAAACCATTCTAAGCATGTATTCAGTGCCCCATTCTTTTTTATTGCTTATCTATAAGCCCAGATGCTTTGTTTTGAGCTGTTAAGGCAATCTGAAGATTGGGATGAGCCTTAGGACTGGAAGTTGCTTTTATTTTATTTTCGACTACCTCAATTCAACCATTACTTTCAACCCAAGCTCTAGTTTAGCAGTAGCTAGTTCTCACCTTGTAGAAGCCCAAGCTCTCATTTCTTAGGCCTCTCACCAGAAACTAGTTGTGAGAAAGCTTCCATTTACAACATGAAGACAACATCTTCATTATGACTTCTGAATCTGTAATGCCCTGGAGACCATAGCAGAGTTCAAGATCTCCCCACTGGTATACATGAGTAGCAATCTGATTGTTTTCTGTACAGTCATGTAAACTGTAGTACTCACTTCTGGTACCATGCTTGTGAGAATTAACATGACAGTTCATGCTTTTTCTCAGTAATTAAGTCAGGTTGTGTAATTACAGTTTTGAATCATAATAAGCTCAGACTTTTTAAAATATCAACCTAATAAACCAATTAAATTTATTTAGGATATCCGGAATCAAAGAAGATACAGACATCATCGAAAAGCTGAATTGGTGAAACTCCAGCAGACTTTGAATGCACTTAACTCCAAGACAGCATTTTATGAAGAACAAATTAATTATTACAACACCTATATAAAAACTTGTTTAGACAACTTAACAAGAAAGTGAGTTGAGTCTTCTTGTCTTTCAATATTTCAGTGTGTTTTATCAAGAGGGACAGCAGGTGTTAACCTGTAGTTGAAAGTTTTGATTCCAACAGTTTAACAATCCATGGATTAAAAGGTCTATGGGAGTTTGTCACTGTGATCTGAGTCAGAACCTGGAAAGTAAAGTCTTGCATTTATTTAAAGCTGCCTTACAGAAAGAGGCCTGAGATGTATACGTGTTTACAATATGTTTAGTTGGGGCTATTTTGCACATCCATTAGCATGCTTTGAAGTCATGCAGCTTTGGGAAGTAATTAGTGATTTTTCTTCCTTCATTAAAAGGATTAGATTTTGTCTTTAGAATGGCAAAGGGGGAAATAAATGCCTAAAGAATTTTACTTTTCAGGTATGATACAGTTACTCAAGAGCAAGCCCCTTGCAAATGCCACCTAAGTGTCAAAACAAAAACATTTTACTGACACAAACAGGAGCCTTCCTAGTGCATACCTCATTGATCCAAAAATGAACTCTTAATGGCCAATCTTATTTAACACCTATGTCACTGTATGCTTACAAATCAATATTTTAAAGTGATGATTGTGGACTCTTTTTGGATCAGGGCTGCATTTCACAATAGAGTTTAAACCAGTGCTAAAAACATTGATTCAAAATGATTGCCAAAATGTTTAGACTACTCACTGTGTGCTAAAAATCCCTCTAATTCTTAGATTTGTTTTGAGTGTTAATTCGTTCATTAATAGGAGTTCAGGAAGTTAGAGTGAAGGAAAACTGTGTGTGACATGGCTAGAAGAGTAGCTGAAGTGTAAAAGAACTGGTAGATAAATCAAAAGCCATTTTTCTTGTTCTCTTCCCAGAAATTCACGGAGGTCAATTAAACTAGATGGAAAAGAAGAGATGAAGGGAAGCAAAAAAATGAAGCAGGCCTCATTAAAGTACACAGCTGCAAGACTGCATGAAAAAGGTGTCATCCTAGAAATTGAAGATCTTCAAACCAACCAGTAAGTGTGGTATAAAACAATTCAGAGCACTTTCTAATCAACAGCTTCTTAAGTGGCCTAGCTTTTATTAAAAGAAATCTTCGCAATTTCCTGTGCCACCTAAAATTACCTCAGACTTTTACATTCAGAAGAATGATAAACCCTAATCGTCATAATTCATTTTTTCCCTTGTATCTTGCCATATGATTATCTTGGGAAAATATTTGAATAAGCCTATTTTGGCATTAGTGTCCTGGTTTCGGCTGGGATAGGGTTAATTTTCTTCCTAGTAGCAGGCATAGTGCTGTGTTTTGGATTTAGTATGAGAAGAATGTTGATAACACGCTGATGTTTTAGTTGTTGCTAAGTACTGCTTATGCTAGTCAAGGACTTTTCAGCTTCCCATGCTCTGCCAGGCGCACAAGAAACTGGGAGGGGGCACAGCCAGAATAGTTGATCCAAGCTGACCAAAGGGCTATCCCGTACCATATGATGTCATGCTCAGTATATAAAGTGGGGGGGGT